ATTCCAAAACAATTAAATACTGATAATGCTCCTGCTTATACATACAAGGCTTTTCAATGTTTTTGTGTCCAATTTGACTTTTCTCATTCCACAAAAATTCCTTATAATCCTCAGGGTCAAGCTATAGTTGAAAGAGCCCATCAAATGCTAAGAATCAACTAGTTAAATTGCAGGAAAGGGAGTTTAAGTATAGCTCTCCTCATAATATTGTAAATCATGCCATCAGAAAAACTTAAGGCAGCAAAAGATTTGGTGCAACAGCAACAACTAGAAACAGGTCACATTAAGCCTTCTACTAGTCCATGGAAAACCCCTATATTTGTTATTAAGAATAAATCAGGTAAATGAAAACTTTTACAAAATTTAAGGGCTGTTAATGCTACTATGAAAACTATGAAAACAGCCTGGAAAAAGCCATCAGGTTCCAGAAATTCCTGGCATTACTGTTTATGACCTTGTTAGTTATTTGTTTGTTTTAGAATTCTCCTTTAAGAAATAAATTACAAGTGTTCAGAGCAAATTCTGGGTTTGTTTTTTTTTTAATGTAAACAAATAAAGAAGGTTTTCACCTCCTTTGTCCTCTCCTGTTCCTCCTACAACTCTGATTCCTGCTTTCCCTCTAACTCAAAGTCTGACTTAGCTGGTTTAACTACTCCTGTTTCTTGTAATCTGCTCTGTCAGTTTCTCTTCCTTCTTGCTCTCCACCTTTATCTGGGAGGGAAGGGCTGGCGTCTACAGCTGTGGTGCCTAACCTTGACCTTCAGTCTTTCTCTTGTACCTTCAGAGAAGGGGTGGATGCCAAAGGCCATGGCACCTGACCCCAGCCTCCAGTCTTTCTCTTTTGTCTTTGGAGGAGGGACCGGTGCCAAAGGCCATGGCACCTAACCCCAACCTCTAGACTTCTCACCCCCCTTTCTCCCACTGCTTAATAACCTCCTGGTGGTGGCCCTACTAGCTGCAACAAGTCACCACCCCCCATGTGTACTTGGAAAGCCCATTCAAGTTCCCACATGGCTTAATAGGTCTCTTCTCAAGGGGGTGGCTGGAACATAAGGAAGTTGAAGTTCTTATTTATTGTTTTCTTATGATAAATTTCTCTCAAGTTATATCTAAACTGGGACTATATCAACCTTCTTTCCAGGCAAAAGTATAGGAATCATATAAATTAATCCTGTTAACTAACCACAGGCTACTAAGACAAATAAAAAAGGTTTTTCAAAAACCAGATAAAAATTCAACAATGTTTCTAAGTCACCTCTCTGAGACATTGCAGCAGTTTACTAATATCAATTTAAATTCTCTGGAAGGACAAGCTCTTTTGGCTATGTATTTTGTCTCCCAGTCAGCACCAGACATTAGGTACATACTCCTAAAATGAAAGAAGGGCCCACAAACCCCTCAACTAAAGCTATTGGACACGGCCTTTATAGTCTTTAACAACAGGAAGGAGAAAAGAATGCAGGACCACAAACATAAACGGGAAGCGTTTCAACTTTTGTCTACCACTTTAGCAAGAGCTACATGCTCAGCTCTACTTGAATTTCCCAGTCCAATCCTTCCTTCACCCCCTTAGGTTGTGGGGGTGCAGGACATTATATCCAGGCCCCTCACTGCGCTGTTGCTTCCATGTGTTCTGGGATATAAAATGTTTCAACACTCCTTCCTTCTTGTGCCATGTTCAGCTCTATTACTGGAAAGGGACATTATATACAAAATTAAAACTCATATTATTCTTTGCCCTCACAATTGTGTTTTTGGGTACCTTTTGTTTAGCTTTGGATTTCCCTAATAGTCCTAAGTTGGATCCTATCTAAACCCTTCCACTGCTTACAAACTTACTGCTTTGGTTGGAGCTCTAAGGTTAGGAAAAATGTAAAAAAGATTGTTGGTATGAGGTATGTTTTTAGTAAAAAAAAATTTTAAAAAGAGAAATAATTGTATAGGAAAAAGTCTTATGTGGTACATTTTTGTTTTATGGTGAATGGCTGGTTGTTTGGGGAAAAAAAAAGGAGAGGGAAAGGAAGAGAAAAAAGGGTATAAAACAAAAATAGAAGGTTCAAGCATAAAATAAAAATGGATTAAGTATGTCAAACATGGTATGTAAAAGCCAGGAAGCTTTTTGGCCATAAGCCTGTTTTAATTGTAATACCTTACACTGCTCCTCAAATAACTTGGCTTTGTAAAACGTGCCCTGTGTGATAGTTGACTGTAGCCCACTTTACTGGGCAAGTGAACTCCCACTATCCTCCTTCTCCACTTCTTACTTTTGCAAAAAATCATTCTTTTATCTTTCTTCAGGTTACCAGTGCTCAACCCCCACAAAATGCTAGCTTGGTTTTTACAGACGGCTCCTCTTCTGAAACAGCAGTTACTGTTATTAATGGTGTTACTTCTTGTTTTCAAACAGATTATAATTCCACTCAATGAGTTAAGCTGTTTGCAGCTTGTCAGGTCTTTACAAAAATTTTTAATTTTGACATTAACATTATGTTACAAGTGTACTGCGTCATTTAAAAACTGCTAGTCTTCATGCTGTCTCTTCCTTCTCCCCCACTAACATAATTGTTCCTTTATAAACCATTCAATTACATATTTGTGCTAGCACAGAACCTGTTTATGCTACTCATTATTCATACTCATTCTACCCTTCCTTGGTCCATTATCTAAAGGCAATGCTCTTACTAATGAGGCTATGTATTTTTTTGTTTTTCCTTTACTAGCAGCTACCACTTCCCATGCCCTTCATCATAAGAATACCTAAAGTTTACTTCACCTATTTGGGTTCCGGACCACCTCATTACAAATGTCCGGCTTCCCACCCCCACCACAGTGCTGCAAAAACCTGCAAACCACCAACTTGGGGATAGCTGAAAGTGCTGACACGTGACACAGAGGACTTGGTTCAGTTTCAAATTACTTCTCTTACTCTCTCTACTGTTTTTATTGCTATACTGGCTATTATAGCAAGCCAAGTGGGTTGTATTTATTCAAAAAAAAAAATCTTATTGGGCTTATATCCCAAACCCTCCAGTGTTCCAGCCTGTTACATGGGATACAAAGATTATTACTGTTTTTACTAATCATTCCTCTTTATTAAAAGACCCCACTCTTTTTCATCATGGGTCAAAACTGTAATTAATCATAATTTTTCCTTTTTGGGTTGTTCTAATTCTCCTCCAATATGTTTTAGTTTACCTAAAAAATCAAACTACTTGCATAAATTGTAAATTAACTAATTGTCTTACTTTTTCTAATTCATATAGAGAATTTGTGATTCTTAAACAGCCTTCTTATTTGATGGTTCCTGTAAATCTTGCATCTCTTTGGTATGATGTATATAGTTTAGTGTTTAGATATGAGGTTAACTCATTGTTGTCAAGGCCAAAAAGATTTATAGCAACTTTGATTTTAGAAATTACAGCTTTAACAACTATAGCTACTTCAGTCTCAGTTTCAGCTGTAGCTTTAACTAAAGAAGTACATACTGCACATTTACAGATCAGTTATCCAAGAATGTCTCATTAGCTTTAGCTGCTCAAGAAATTGTTGACCAGAAATTAGAAAGTAAAGTTAATGCATTAGAAGAGGCTATCTTGATTATAGGACAAGAACTTGTAACCTTGAAAATTAAATTGGCTCCGCGATGCCATTCAGAGTTTAAATGGATTTATGTCACACCTCTCCAAGTGAACAAATCTATTCCTACCTGGGATAGGATTAAAAATCATATCTCTGGAATTTGGAACCATTCCAATATAAGCTTGGATCTTTCCAAACTTCATCAGGAAGTACAAGACATTAGTTCGACTGAAAAACAATTTCAGTCCACCCAATTGGCTCAGTCAATCTTTAACAATTTTTCTTCATTTGTCAATCAAAAATCATTATTGTCTATATAAATCAATGTGGGAATTTGTGGAGTAATAATTTTGTTATTATTATGCTTACTTCCAGTAATCTTCAAATCATTGAAAAATAACATCTCTCAATGAAGCACAGAATTTCACAGCTTCGTATTAAAAAACAAAAAAGGGGGAGATGTTGGGAGCCGGCCTTGGAGGTTCACCTGATTGACAGGGTCCTGGTGGGCCGGAGACCCCAGGCCACAGGGTGAGCCTGGGAAGCTGAGGCCCTTCTGTCTTCCACCTTTGCTGTTTGATACGGCTGAAGAAATTCTGTGCAGTCGTGGAAGAAGAAAATGGCATGTTTATGCGAAGTACTCACACCTAACCTGAGAATGTCATGGTTCGTTTTCCCATTTTCCCACTATGCCGCCTGGCCTTTTCTAACATATGCAAGGGTTAAACTCTGAAGCACATCAAGAATGCTCTCTTTCACTTGGTTATAAGTTACTAGATATTGCTTGAATAAAAAATGATATTGGTATATTCACTCCTTATTTGATTTAGAATTATGAGGCTTAGTGTTTAGACATAAGGTTTTATAGAAGCACAAGTTTATAGTAAGTTCATTATGAATTCATTATAAGTTCTAACACTTATCTAGGAGTTATGTAGGTGATTTATAACACTGTCTTCACAGACTTAGGATAAAGATTAAATGTTAAGGTTTTTACTTAATTCTATAGTTAAATTTTAGGTAAACATTTATAGAGTGAGTTTTCACTGAATTCATAATATACTAATTAGATACTTTTATGATGATTAACTAAATACAGAAAGCAACCTTGGGGGCCTGGGAAGTGTCATTAAAAGCTTCTTTTGAGTTTTCTTTAGAAATAAACACTGCTGGATAAGAGTAAAGTAATGAAGACACCTGGACAAGAAAGGCGATTACAAAGCTCTGAAGGTCATAGAAGCCCCAGAAATAGAACTACTACTGCATGGAGAACTTTGCACCTGAAAACTTTCTTGAGACATTTCAAGGACTGTAATTTGGGACTTTGAACTAAAACTATCATTTTTGACTTTATGATAAAGACTCATTAACTAAAAGTAGATAGTGTTTTTGGCTTATTTGTTTCTTCTAAAGACCGCTAGATGGTGGTAACTTTTAAAGCATATGTAAGTGAAGGAATTTTCTTTGTCTTGCCCCTTTACGAATGGTATAAAAGCTCTGTGTTAACTAACATTAAATTGTCATCTGTTCAGGAAGCAGGTGTCCGAGTATAATGTTTTTATCCTTTGCCTATCCGTCTCTCCTTCAGGAGATCTCACGACCCAGCAAAGGGGCTGGACCCCTTCATATTCCTATAAGCCAACAATGAATAATTGGAATTTGAAGTTAAAAACCTATCATTTACATCACCACCAATATAATGAAATACTTAGGTATAAATCTAAAAAAATAATACAAAATCTATAGAAGAAAAACTATAAAACTCTGAAGAAACAACTAAACAAATGGAGAGATATCCCATGTTAAAGGATAAGAACATTCAACATGCTTAGATGTTAGTCTGTTCCAAATTGATCAACAAATTCAACATGATCGCAATTAAAATCTCAGCAAGTTATACTGTCTACACCCACAAACTGATTGTAAAGTTTACATGGAAATACAAAGATCAAGAATAGCCATTTTAATAATGAGAAGAACAAACTTAGAGGACTGACACTACCTGGCTTCAAGAATTACTATAAAGCTACAGTGATCAAGATATTGTGGTACTGGTGAAATAATTGACAAGTTGATCAATGCAACAAAATGGAAAGCCCAGGAGTAGGCCCACAAAAGCATCTGATCTTTGACAAAGGAACAAAGACAATAAAATAGAGCAATGATAACCTTTCAACTAATGATGCTGGAACAACTGGACATCCTCAATAAAAAAAAAAAAAAAGAAGGCATGTAGATGCAGATCTTATACCTCTCACAAAAATTAACTTAATATGAATCACAGGTCTAAATATAAAATACAAAGTTAAAAACTTCTAGACAATACACAGGAGAAAATCTAGATGTCCTTGGGTTTAGCAATGAGTTTTTAGGTAACACCAAAAGCATTATACATGAAAGAACAAATTGATTAGTTTGACTGCTAAAATTAAAAATTTCTGCTCTGTGAAAGACTATCAAAAGAATGAAAAGAAAAACAAAAGATTCAGAGAAAATACTTGCAAAAGATATATCTGAGAAAAAACAGTTTAGTCAAAACATACAAAGAACTTTTAAAATTCAACAATAAGAAAATAAGAAACAATAAAAATGAGTGAGTTAGCTGGGCTCGGTGGCTCAGCCTGTAATCCCGCGTCTTTGGGAGGCTGAGGTGAGTGGATTGCCTGAGCCCACAGGTTCGAGACCCACCTGGGCAGTGAGACCTCATCTCTATAATAAATCAAAAAATTAGCCGGGCATGGTAGCGCATGCCTGTAATTCTGGCTACTTGGAAGACTGAGGCGGAAGGATCACTAAAGCCAAGCAGGTTGAGGCTACAGTGGCCAGGAGCGGCCACTGCACTCCAGTCTGGGCGACAGAGTGAGACTTCAACTCAAAAAAAAAAAAAATAATGAGTGAGTTAGACAGATAATTTACCAAAGAAGACATATTTATGGCAAATAAAGCATATAAGAAGTCTGGCAGCATATATCAAACAGGAATTGAAAATTATGAGATTTACAATGAGATGCCACTACACACCTACTAAAAGGACCAAAATCCAAATCACTGATAATATCAAATGCTGGTGAGGACAGACTCTTGTTCATTGTTGGTGACAATACAAAATGATACACTCACTTTGGAAGACAGTTTGGCAGCTTTTTTATAAAGGTGAATGTGGTTATCACTATACTATCCAGGAATTGTGCTCCTTATATTTACTCAACTGGCATGGAAACTTATCTGCACACAAATGTTATAGCAGTTTTATTCATAATTGCAGACACTTGGAAATAACCAAGATGAACTTCTATAGCTAAGTGGATAAACTTGGTATATACATAGAATAATATTTATAGAGGAAGAAATAAGCTATCAAGCCATGAAAAGACATGTAGAAAGATTAAATACATAGTGCTAAATTAAGGAAGCCAGTTTGAAGAGTTACATAGTGTGTGATTCCAACTATACAAAATTTTGGAAAAGGCAAAAATATGGAGACAGTAAAAAGATGAGTTGTTGGCAGGATTTCAGGAAGGGAGATGGATTGATAGAGCCTAGGGTATTTTTATGGCAGTGGAATTATTTTGTATGATACTAGAATGGTGGATATTACATTATTGTATTGGTAGAAGTCACATCAAGTGACATTATGCATTTGGAAAAACCCATAGAACCGTACAACAGAAAGAGTGAAAGATAATGTAAACTGCAGACTTAATTAATTAATTGTACAAAATGTACAATTAATTAGTACAAAATATACTAATGCAAGTTGTTAATAAAAGGGAAAATTGTATGTGGCTTGATGAGACAGGGTATATAGGAACTCTGTTCAGCTTTTCTGTATACCTAAAACTACTGTAAATTCTATCAGTTTTTAAAAAATCAATGTTATTGTACTCAGATGTCCCAATTTGTAGAAAAGTCAGATGTGTGCACACAAATTTCAAGGAAGTTTTCTCCATAGAAATGCAAGGTTAGGCTGGGTGCAGTGGCTGACACTTATAATCTCAGCACTTTGGGAGGCCGAGGTGAAAGGATTGCCTGAGCCTACGGGCAATACCTAATCTCTACATTAAAAAAAAAAAAAATTAGCTAGGCCTGGTGGTGTGTTCCTGTAGTTCCTACTACTTGGAAGGCTGAGGGGGGAGTATCGCCTGAGCCCAGCAGGTTGAGGTTGCAGTGGCTGGGAACATGCCACTGCCCTCAATCCTGGACAAGAGAGTGAGACTCCATCTCAAAAATAAAAAAAAGAAAGAAAAGAAAAGAATGCAAGGTTGATATACTAATCATTTTTTTATTTGGGGTTTTTATGTGTTTTCATGTATTACTCATGTAATTTTGAACATCTAGCTTCCTCCCTTTCCATTTCAGGTGAATCCTGCTGGTCACAGATGTTACTCTTTTATATTTTCTAGTATTTGTTCTATTTCACAGTCATAGTAATAAGAGATATTTGTACGTACATATATTTATCTTGGCAGCTTTGAGGTTAAAAGGCATTCTGTGGGAGGCATTATAGAATCACCTCACTGCTCCTCTTCCACGTTGCCCTACACATCTTTTATTGTAGATGAAAAATATCAGAATAGTAGAAAATAGTCAAATGAGCATCATTTGCACATATCACACATATTTAACCATTTTTCACTTTTTTTAACCAGACTTTGTCTAATAGTTTTTCTTAGTTATTTGACAAATATCACGTTAAACTACAAATATGTAACTGTAAATGCTTCAGTGTGTATCTTTCGCCTATAAGAGCAATTTCCTACTTCTCCCAACAACACACTAAGAAAATAATGATTTTTCTTAACATTTCTAACGTCCACTCCCTATTCATGTTTCTGCGGCTGTTGGTGTCTGTTGCAGCTTTTGGCTCCAACCACGCACTGCAGGGGGCCGAGATGCCCACACCTCTGAGGATCTGGCCACACCTGGGCAGCCAGGACCCGACCCACGGCTGAAATGGGAAAACACCCAGCCTGGACGCAAGGGCTTATGGCAATGGTAGTTCCCGACGTCGGGGCCTGCCGCGCAGCACTCTGGGAAGGGGGTCCCCGGCGCCCACTCTGCGCAGGCGCAGGATCAGTCCCGCCCCCCCGCGCCCTCGTCCGCCCTCTTGGCTCGAAAGGAACGCCTCAGCGTTCTTAGGTCTGCGCAGGAGCGGTGGCCGCGCACCTGGAGTGAGAGCGCCGGAGTCGGGGCTCCGGGGGCCTC